ACCAGGAGCCGCAGATCTCTCGGTCTTTTTTTCCCAGCGTCCAATTCACATCTCCTTCGCGTTTCGGAATTCTGCCCTCTCTTCCCTAGCTGATTCAAGCCATTCGTTGGCCCTCAACCATTTCTCCCACTTCTTCCTCTCCTGGGCTTGAATTTGACTTCAGAACCCCAAACAGGATTCGTACCAAAACTGCTACACCGAATTTAGATCACACGCCTTGGCGTTTTGTTTTTTAATTGCATTAACAAAGTCTACACTTTGCAGTCGGCTAGGCAATTTGCAGGAAAATGATGTTTCCACCACCCTCCTCTCCATTTGGCTGCAATCAGGACTTCTCGGGGCATTTTCAAAGAACGGTGAAGTTGGGCCACGTGTAAAATGCAATGCTAGGAACCCCTTAATTGAAAACGCGTGGGAGGATTTAATCAGCTCCATTGCAAGTTTTCTCCAAATGAAAAGGAGTTTGGCTAGTGGCCCCTTCTAGTTGGAGAAATACCACCTTTTCAGGTTTGAATAAAAAGATTTGCAAACACACACGTGCGACCTTGATAGAGTGTATCCAGGAGTAGACCAGTCCCCTGGAAGACTGCTATGTTTTGGAAGGTATTATAACTTCTCCTCACCTGGAGAAGGTATGAGATCGTTTCACCCAAATTCACCAGATCCATTATAATAAGATCCCCAAAATAGGACAGTGGTGCGTCTGTCTGTCATGACTGGCAACCCACGCCTACCACCACCTTGCGCATCCCACAAACAAGCATCGCAGTGTGAAAGCTAATGATAGCTGACACGTATTCAGGGCTTGCAACATACCAAACAAGCTTGTTTTTTTCTAAAATCACCTCCTCATGGAAGCTTAGGGCTGTGCCTAGTACACAGCAGACAATATGGAAATGCTTGAACCACTGAATGGGCGATCTCATTTAACTCTCTAGGTGTCAGGTAATATTAGCAGGCCCCATCGTACAGGCAGAGAAACTGACTCAGCAATTAAACTAGTCACCTCGGGTAGTTCCAAACCACTTTTCCTGGGTGGTTCCAAGCCTGAGTGCCAGACTTGCCATTTAACCCAAGAAAGGAGACTTTAAAGCCTGTGTTCTGACCCCTTCATACAGTCTCTTCATGTTCTCTAACCCCTCTGACGTTATATTATGGATTTATGGTTTTTATCTGCCCCTGTGCAAAGGGTCTTGACCATCTACGTCCCCCAGGACCTAGAACAGTCCTGGACACCACAGGCACTCAAAAAGAAATGGGTTGTATTAGTTAGTTGATTTCTTTTATGAGACTGTCTTAAGCTAAAAGAGGAAAGGAACACGTGGGACACACAAAGGAGTTGGGAGATGTCCTCATGCTTCTAAATTAGATGTGGAGAAGGATCTTGCAGCTGGCTTCCAAAGGGCCAAGAAACAGGCTCAGAGAGGATAAGGGTTTTGTTCAGCCCTTGGTAAAGCCAGGGCTGGATACAGACAGACCAGCTACTGATCCTGCCACCCCTGCTCTGACACTCCATGGTATGTCCCAGAGAGCATCAGGGCCTGGTGGCAGAGGCGATCACAGACACCTTTCTGCCAGAGCCTCTGCAGGTGGGGGTGGGGAATCTTAAGGTGCTTCTAAACTTGGTTTTAAAAAGATACCTTGGAGAAAAGAAAATATGGACCCAAAAGTCCATTTCAAAATCTGCCTCCAAACTCTGTAAAATACTGCCTGTCACCAGGACATTTGACTCTGGTCCTCAGAGGAGATTCACTCTGGCTTTAATTAACAGAGACTGCCCCCTGTTTGTGACAAGAAAAGTGCAGGGACTGTATCTTAGAAACAAATGGGATCCACCCATAAGGCTTATTTCCCAGTGATTCAAAACTCTAAGCCTCCTATCCTCTGTGACCTTTGTCCAAACTAAATTCATTTTGTGCTCCTGCCAGCTGTGGCTGCTGCTGGTCCCTGGAATACCACCCCAGCCTGTTGCCCAAGGCTTCAAAATATACCTAGAAGAGGGTGGAATTATTGTGGTTCATTTTATTCTGCAAAGGCAAAAGTTCATTTTCTCATGCCAGTGAGTTAGTTCCTACCACCTAGTAGGTGTGTGATTATTTGGAACAGGATCCTTTTTGGAATAAGTGATGAAGATATTTCTTTTAGGGCTCCTAGTGGAAAGGCAGGGAGGTTATGAACTACATGACAGACGCCGGTCAAATTCATGGAAGATTAAAAACAAAATCCTCATCAAATATCCCCTGCACTATTGAAAGAGCAATACTATACAGTAAGACCAGCCCTTTCCTTGCTCTGGCCTTGCCGCCAGGTTTTTGGGTTTTTGGGTTTTTTCCACAAAATGTTTTGTTGCAGAAATGTAACAGTTTGCCCTTCTGGGAGAGCCCTGACTGAACTGCCTGACCTCTCGGGAATGTTCTGTTAGCTCCACCCCTTTCAAGAATGTTCTGTTAACTCCGCCCCTATCTCTGTGGGCTCCTTGGCCCACTCTCCTTTTCAGGAATGTTCTGTAACTCCATCCACTAGCTTCTGTGAGCATGCTCACATAACCTGCAGCCCCCTATAGAAGGAGGCTTCCGATTCTAGTCAAGCGTTCAGACCTGCTGGGGCAGATTCTCCGGTCTTCAACTTTTGGCTTTGCTT